GTATTATTGTGAAAACAGGAGTACCCGTTGAAAACCCACGTGGTCGGGCAGGTTGCCCCATACCTTTTCACGTTCGATTGCGCGTGTCTGCTGTTTATTGTATTGAAAAGAAGAACGCTTGTTTTTTTTTTTTTCCAGTACTATTGCTGTAGTCAATAAATCTCAAAAACATTTACAACTATAACTAAATGATACATTGGTTTACTTGTGAATGTTTGTTATGAATATACTTCAGAGATACATCAGCATAGGTTTTGTAAATGTAGCTTTCTAATGTTGTCTAAATTGGCAATTATTCGGGATCTCCAGATTTGTTATCTTCCGTTCTCAAAGTCTCAAATCTCTGTGAACACACGCTAATCGTTTGTTTATTTAAAGTATCTGATCCTTTTCCTGGTGTTATTATGGTGTTGATCGATTGCGAATAATTAATAATTCATCAAATCAAATTGTCATTGGGTTTGTTATTCTCTCATCCACAGCATATGCCCGATGCCTGCAAAGTACAAGCCAAAACAGGAGATACAGCCGTATTTGACTTTGACGTAAGTTACCCCAATGATGATAGATTATTCAGTTGCTCACACGACCGAATAAACATTGTTTAACCATCACACTCAAACATGTCGCAAAAGTATGTGTGTTTAATTGAAAATAAAATCTGTTAAAAAATCACTATTAAAACTTCAATGCATGGCATTTTTTTTCGTATTTAAATCTGGTACGTTGGAAAAGATATTCTTTGTTCCAGTTGAAAAATGAAAGCCCCCATTCTTTGTTCATATTAATCTATAGATGTACATGACATAATATGTGTGTTTCAGATATGGTTGAATGACAATGAGACTAAGTTTGAGACCTCTCAGGATACGGAAGAAAGGGAGGGACAGAAAATGGTGCTTGTCATTGGTTCAGGGATGGTCATTCCGGGTAAGTCATTATACACTCATCTACGCAATGTTTATCACATCACAAATGGCTACTCCAAATGGATAAAAAGTTAAACAAGTACATGCAATTGTTCTAGGGAAAAATAAGCAGTTATAAGTGGGTTATTCCTTGTACGTGTAGTAAGGTACACGGTATATACCTGGTACATGGGTGTTAAACAGATTGCAGTCATCGCCTTAATTCTTCCTTACAAATAATAATCACAATTACATTAAAGAGTAAGATACAATATCCAATTGCGTGTTCAATAAAAACGTTTTGTTTTCCAGGAGTAGAAGCTGGCATCACCAACATTTGCATTGGGTAAGTATCGTTACATGTCTTGTATTGATGTCCGACAATGGTATGTGTTTCGTGTATTGTTTAGTTGCGCAACATGTCTTTCCAGTGAATATATTGCATATGATCAATACAGGACGTATTGTGACTTGAATCGACGTCAAAGAGTTCCATTTGATTTTACGAGGTCACAAAGCCAGAATGGCGTTATTTTAGATATTTTTTTCGCAAAATTGCATGATCAGTTTGTGGCAAGTTTCTACGCATTCAAGATATTCCTCTAAACACATGCACTGTGTCAATGCTGTGTTTCCTTCAAATGCATGTATACTATTAGATATTCTAGAGTTCACATGATTTACCATATCGGAGCATCATACTTTTTTTTATCACGTTGTACATTAATTTACATGTAATAATGCAGTAATTGTAAACCGGAAAGGACGTTTCTATTTACCGGAGATGACGTATGTATATTGAGAGTAACTTTTCCCCCCCAATTTTAATCAGGGAGAAAAGGAGACTGGTCATTCCACCCCACCTGGCCTGGGGAGAGGATGGTATCCCAGATATTATTCCAGGTACGTACAAATAGATTGCATATAACTATTCTAGACGTGTTTAAACCAAATGATTGATCTCATTATTTCGGTAAACGTGTTGGTGACCAAATTGAAGAGGATAAGAAAGTAATGCAAGGTTTCCGACTTTATTCATATTATTCATTTTTCAAAAAGCTATTAAAAAAAAACCAACGTCAGGTGCTGCTTTAGACAACACATCTGCTTAGTGTTATAAACAATTTACAAGTTAAGTGATCATCCATTTCTATATATTCAATAAGAGTTTCCATTAAACACTTGTGACCAAGCTTGCACTTTAAGTCCACTCTTGCTGTCGACAATTAGTGTGTCAAGATTGAATAATTTTAAACATTTATAACACAGATATCTGTTTTAATTGCACATAGCTTTATATCAAGCTTAGCTCAAAGATAGTACACTATGTATTCTTACATAACTTACTGTAAGCTTACTGTACGCTGGGTGAAAATTACGCAATTTGGAGGTCAAACCCGTACGCACGGGGTTAATTTACGCGGTCGCGGTAAACCGACGTTTACTCTGCAGAGTTATCACCCTTACTTTACAAAATATGTACAGATCAACATACTAATAGCTACTACATTGTAAGTACATGTTACGCATGCGTACCGACTGGTCATTTGATAGGTGAACATACAGGTGAACTGTATTCATGTGCATGTGTGTGTCTTAGTTTTTGTGTGCAATAGAAAACATTTGTACCCTGAAACGATCGCTGCTGATCCCGGGAAGGTATCGGACATTGTCTGAAACGTCAGCTGTAACAATCAGTAACTGACTGTAGAGCTGGAATTCAAACAGAACTTGAGATAGACGCGATTGTTGACTTTCTGGATATAGAGGCTTTATCCCAGAGACCATCATTGAATGTAGATTTGATCAAAACTGTAATCTTTTCTTTTTACATGCTTTTTCAGAGAATGCCTACGTCACCTTTGACCTGGAGCTTTTGGAAATCGTACCGAAGACGTGGTCACAATGGTATATAGACATCGTGCAGGTACTTTGTTCAGTTGGCTTCGTCGTGGGAACCTTCTACCTGTTTGTTCAACAGATACGTAATAGGCGGAAACAACAAAGGGATGCTGCAAAACGGGAACGTAAGCGATTGAAACTGCGCGCGCGATTAGAACAAGACGAAGAAGAAGAATACGAAGATGATGAAGAGGAAGATGAAGATGAAGGTGAAGAGGAAGAAGAAGATGATGAAGAGAAAGAGGAAGAGGAGGATAAAACCAACGACGGCAATGACATGGATATACAGAACGATGAATGGACAAAGTTCCAAAAACATACGAAAGCCGAGTAAAGCATACATTTACGTATACGGATGTCAGTGTATGTTTGAACGCCTCTGTCTGCATTTCATCTCTAGTGATATTTACACGTCCTTGTCAGACACTTTATAAAGTATGTATAAGGAACTCCGTTAAATAAATAAGAATTTGGGATAGTAATCATTTTAGTCGGAATAAATGAAAAACGTCAGACGATTAAAAGAAATGCGAAGCAGTGTTGAGAGTACCGAAAGTTTTTTGTCATTCACAAGAATATTTTTTTCTGCTCAGAAAAGCGCCGAATTTGAAAACGAATACTGTACTTGTGGTAGTGTGACATTTAAATATATCCTTCTGTACGTATGAACTTAATCATGTGCATTACATGGTGACCTGGACGCTTTCTTCTACAAATACAGGAAGCTGACGAAGTGCGTGATTGTTGGTAATGTTTGTAGTTTTGTTGTGTTTATTTATTTGTAGTTGTTGATGTGTTTGTGTGACGTAAATTAAACAAGTTTTATTTGAAGAGCGAACACGTGTATTGTTTTTCTGGTTCGTCGGTGTATTACATGCCATTATGTTTTAGCAGAATATCACGTATAAAACATTAATAGTATTTAAACATCTAGTGATTAACATTCTAAATCGTGTGATATATAAATAGTAAAACTTGCCGTTTGTATTCTAAATCTTGACACAAAATGTACTAAATTATTCAAAGTGTTAAACGTGTGTGATTTATATATAAAATCTTCTTACCTAGTATCTGTAGGTTGATTCTGATGATGAATATTACGTATCTTGTGATGCATATTCAAAATCATGTTTGAGAAATATTGTGATTTTCAGGAAATGAGATCTATCATCGATACTCTGTAAGTTGTATTCTGAAGTTATAATTTGATTTGTAATACATTTGTCTTATGTTTACACATCTTCAAATGTCTGTTTAATATAATTTACTAAAGAGTAATCAAACATAATTACGCTTTGAGGTATCTCGTGCAATTTGCTTAAAAGATTGTTAAAATGAAACAGACATTTTTACAGGATTTCTTTCGTGTTTTCAATTGCTATCATTTCTGCCCGGCCACAAATGACGATCGGAATAATTTCGGAAACTTCAGTCACCATTTGATGCTGGCGGCACGACATAATTGATTCCTGATAAACATATCGATATAAAGAAAAAAAATCATTTGAAAAGCACAGTGTTATTGTTCTTAACGTTATAAGTTGATAACAACATTTTCATTTGAAGGTAATTTTATTCAGAGGATGTACAACAGACATAAATATAATGGTATTTAACAACAATGATATTTTCAATGTAATTATCATTCAATCATGTTAATATATATTTGCCCCAAGTAAAAGTAAGATCCACCGATAGAAATGTATATCACAAGGTTGATACCAGGAACATAACAAATAAATAGAAAGTCACTCTATGTCTAAGCTTTCCGGCTTAGCCCGTCATCAGGGATTCAATGGTCCTCATCATTGTGTGTGAACTTCCGATATTAAAATAAGGATGTGACATAAGGGTGCTGACCATCCAATCCCTAATGAAAGGATTGGATGATAAGCACCCTTATGTCACATTCTTATTAGAGAGCCTTGCCAACGGAATGACTGTAGCTACATAAAGCTATCATGCATTAGTACATCTGGTACGCATTTTCTTGTAGTTTTAGTTTGATTTTTTTCCCTTTTACTGAATTTATTTCTTTTACTTGATATTGATTTTCTTTGGGTTGCTGATTGCTTGATTCATAACTAATTAGACAAGTAACATTCGATAACTAACTAGAGTAAGCTATTTCATTTATTACAATAACAAATTATACATAATTTCTCATTTCTCCAAGCATATGAACTAGTTATGCGAAAAATATAAGATACCCTGCATAATTACAAAAAACGCGTGGTTGCCAATCGTCCCATTAGCATTATTGGCACAAATAGATCAACCGAGGAATAAAATCAAAGTACTGGTTATTTATAATCAAATACAGTAGTGCAATATTAAGGGGATGGATGTCTAAGGTAAATGTATTTATATGCAAACATGGGACCTCATTCATTGTAATACATAGTTTAGGTCGGAGCATCATCATGCATGCATATAGTTATCAGAAAACAAAATACAAATCATGTACATTATAATGGACAATCATCATAACAAGACGTACAATATACAGTCAGATACAGTAATATACGATGCATACTGTCGCACCATACTACACATATACACATCACGAAATATTGTACTACAGTAAGCAACATTGAGGATCATATACATTAAGCGTCACTTAAATCATACCGCAAGGTCATGCAGGATATTGGTTGTCAGTGGTTTGACTTGAATTCGAACCAAAACGTTAAGTAGAGTATGTGTAGTCATTATATGGGCCGTCAGGTCAAGCATACTAGAAAGTCATGACGGACCGAGTTCATCTGTAGTGGGACCGTCATAGGTCGGGTCGGTAATTCAATCATGTTAGCTAGAGCGTCAAGTAGGATCGTTGTCGTCAATGATCAAACCGTCAATTCCAACATACAAGATATATATTCCTTGCAGCCATATTCGCTCCATCGTCATAAATGGAGCCAACAATTTGAGAAGTATTTAAAAATATAATGATATTATATTTGGATAGGTGTCGTCATGACTACATAGATGTTTTTTTTCTATTATGCAAGTGCTTCATATATAGTGAAATTGTTTGACTATAAAGCGAAAAATGTGTTTCACAAAGTAATTATTCGGAGCATATATATCTAACAACAATACTTAATTAGTAGTAATATAGACAATGCAGACAGTCTATGTAACCACCAATATTTATAAATTGGAATTGTTATATATCAATCAACAGTTATTAATTGGCATTGCTACATTGCCACCAACACAGATACACTGGCAGTATTACTTAACGATCAACATTGTTTGGCATTGTCATAAAAACATGAACATTGGTTAATTAACATCGTTATACAACAATCAACACTGATTCAATGACAATTTATAAAACTATCAACACTGACTCATTATCATTGTTATATATCAATCAACACAGATACACTGGCATTATTACCTAACCATCAACATTGTTTGACAAGTTCATGACAAAGGTGAATATACGGTGGGCTCTATTTCCATGCTTTCAAGCGAAACATTTCATCAGGTAGTGAATTACTCACACGCTTAAGTCACCAATAACATTTAAAACACTTCCTGTTTGTCATTTAGATATGGATATAAATGACAGATGAAGGGGAACCACTCTCCAATAAAATACTAAACATAATGCTTGCAAACAGAAAATATAAATATAATATATTCTCTTCTCTTTCGGGACATTGCTGATAGATATGAGGTGTTTTAAACACGACACTCTACTTAGATAACATATAACATCAAACAGTACACATTCATTTACATTCAACATGATTCAAAATATTATGACGTCATCATGTAAATGAATTATAAAAAAACCATATGAAAAAAATTCATTAGAACACTTTTACAAAGACGTCCTTATATAATTCATATTTATAAAAAAAATGATTATAGCAAATATATTCATCGGCTTCATGATACAATGATGTCATGTCGCGTTCGTGACAATCAATCAAACATTTCCATCGAGATTATAACGTAAATCTTAGTATACACTTGATTACGCATAGCCATTTGATATTGATAACAGTACCTAGCGTCAGTTTTCATTTTGGACCTATTTTTATGTTCAACGCTCAGGGAATCCTGACTTAAAATTATCAAAAAATACAGATACGTCAAAGAATCATTTCGAGAATAAAAATGGGAAAAAAGATTAACAATAAAAATGGCGTTGTAGCAAATTTGAGAAGTGAAAAGGGGAGGTAACTCTATTATATTTAAAAAGTTCCAATTATATTACGTCTTTTATTGTAAAACTAGAAATCATAGATTGACTACGGTACATGGCAATGATAATTATGTGTAATATAATATGATGGCTATTAATCATTACTCCCAGTATCATTCATCACATCTTTACACATTGTATGATATAAAAACAGGACAATTAAAGCCAGAATACTTTGTTGGATTTATAACATGGTGCTATATACGATATGAGGATTATGCAAGCATGATATGTTAGATAAAGGATCATGGTTTTCAGCCAAGTTGTTTAATATCTAATTATTTCATCGCAATTTTATACTGAAGCTGATAAAACTGATAACAGTAATCACAAGTCAATGTTATAATGCAAAAATATTATTATGTTATAATGCGATAATGGTATGAGTAAGCAAAAGTGATACAAGGTCGGCGAATAAAGGTGATCTCAGCATGAAAACGAAGTCTGCATAAACACTTATAAGAAAATAATATTCAAAATAACTTTCTTTCGTACTAAGTTTTATGCTTTCATTATGATACATACACAAAAAAATAGGTATTAATTATTGGATGCTTTTCATTCTCAAAACAATAAAAAAGTTAATGATACTTTAACTCTTTCCTATGAATATCTAAGGAAACCTTTGCAACCGTCTTTAAATGATCAATCACCAAGAAACCTCCGCTCTCGTTTGTTTCGTTGTATGACCTGTCATGCTAGCTACAACCTGCAATTTAACTACACACGAGGTTGTTTATGATTTTATATTACAATGAATACAACACAGTTTCTTTATTGTGCTTGTAAATGTTTTCTATATAATGTATACCAAAAGAACTTAACAAAATAATGTTTATGTCCAGTATGTAAGAATAAACCAAAGAAAAAGATATAACGACCAACTTCAAAACTACTTTTTGTAGCAATTTTCACCATTCACAGTGGTTTTCAGTTGTTATTCCCATACCCATGTTATTCTGATTTGCGAGCAAACGTTTTCAAAACTTACTTCATTAAAAAGCCCAACAATTTTAAATTGATAAGACTGTTGATTGTGAAAAGTACAAAAGAAGTAGCGCACTTCATTGCAAATTCGAGCAGAACACAACTATGATAAATATCCATAATTGCACTCTCCAGACATGTGGCACTGTTTGTATTTGTAATTACGTTGTAAGCGTGTCTAGTGCTGTGTAACATTACTCGTATTTTTCCTTGTAAACACCGCACTTTTGTTGCTTTGTAACTGATGAAACAAAAGACTCAAAGTAATAAAAAGAATCATTTAAGTTTTCAACATATTAGGTTATTTACGTGAAAAGTTATGGGTTCGGCTGCCGGATCACGTGGGTTTTCTCCGGGTTCTCCGGTTTCCTCCCACATTAAGTCCCCTCGCGCGCTAACATCCGGGCTAACAAGAGTGATTTATATCAGTTGAATTACCTTGTTTCATAATTGTTGTAAAATACATATTTTTACAAATGTCGGTCGTTATATCTTATTTTTGGGTTTGGTCTTTATCTGTTAATATATCTGTATGAAGTTCAGCGTTACGTATGGTTTCCTACAGAATCGTACAAACCTGTAGCCTTGTGAGGGGCGACAGTTGCTAGTTTTGAAGTCGATCGTTATAAATATATCTCATTTGTTCTGTAGGATTATTGATAGACAGGATCTCTATACAGTATATCGAAGGGCTAGGTGGTTCAAAGTTTCATAGGCTTAACGAAATATGAGTAATAAGTATATCTTCTAAAGTTCTGAAATTGAAAAATAAAACAAGAAATATTTGTAAAAACTTATGAGAGCTCTTAACAAACAAATTATAATAATTTGCGTAAATAATTCATTAACCAAATCAGAATTTCTACGACCGGCTCCTGCTTATTCATATTTAAATAAAAACACACAAAAAAAACAAACTACATCTTTATTGTAAGCTACAGCATCGTACCAAAGGTATTCGAGATTAACCGGGGTATACTCAATATTTCTGCATCATTTCTACCTTTTCCCTTTACTTCCCAAAACCAGTTACTGCGTCATTGAAATAAAATATCAAACCCCGAAGGAGAATTATGATTTATTTGACAATATTTCATATTTTTCCGTGGAATGATTTGCAAAATATGGTGACTTATTTTAAGAAATAAAATTTGTTGTAAACAGAAAACAAAATAGCTTATGTCATTCCCCGAAAACCAGACAATGTGTTATAGGACGAGGAACAGTGATAAAGATAGTACCGTCGCTGGGGCTCGAACCCGCGACCCTTGGCTCTCCAGCCCGACGCTCTACCGCTGAGCTAAAGGGAAATTCCCTACAGCTGACGGTTGTAAGGGAACCTAATTAATCCTCGTCTTTTACACTATTCTCCCCTTTTTTGCAAACAACAACCCATGTTCTTTGACTCCCCGCCATGGGTTCTCCTACCTTGAACGGAGAGGGTCAACGGCACCAATTTGTAATAGGACGAGGAATATTGATACAGATAGTGTCGTCGCTTGGGCTCGAACCCGTGACCCTTGGCTCTCCAGCCCGATGCTTTACCGCTATGCTAAAGGGAAATTCCCTTATTAATCCACATCTTTTACATAATGTATGAAAAATATTTTCAATGGCTCTGACAAAAAGATTAGCCTGACTCTCCAATACAAAAGGTAAAAAGGCATTAGATTTAAAACTAAATTGGGGGAAACCGCAAATACTTTTGTCCGATGCTGTATGTCGTGTTGCTTACCGAGCACCAACAGAAAGGTTTAATACTGATGACGAGATGTTAGTAATTATTGTGTCAAGTTGAATTATAGCACTAAAATTGATTAAAACTAATAATAAAAAAATGTTCCTCGCAGAAAAACATAATCTCACGAGGAAATAACGAAGAAAGGCGATAGGACATATGCCTTTTACAAATAATGTCGGCAATAAACGAAAGTTTCATTATGTATGATTTCATGATTTTTTCTTAAACTCTTTGACATTAATGTAAGGTGATTCTTCTTCTTGATACAAATCGTTCGTTCCCCTGCCATCTATTTCCATCGCAGGCGCCGATGTTTGACCAAAATTTTCGTAATCGTCTTGCGGTTCCTCATCTGTTGTATTAACGGTAGGATTATACTGAAAGTTTTCATATTCTTCCTGAGGTTCATCGTCAGTAATTCTGTCCTTTGAAGTGTGTTCAAAATTTTCATAGTCATCCTGCGGTTCATCGTCATTTAAATTGGCTTTGGGAGTGTTACTAAAATTTTCATAGTCATCCTGCGATTCATAGTCTCTTAGATTAGCCTTGAATATTTTTTCAACATTTTCATAATCTTCCTGCGGTTCATCGTCCGCTTGACGGGTAACTTCCACATAATCTTCCTGTTCAGTGTCGCCATTTGTTTTCCTGGACATATCACAATATGTTCCACCCTCTGAACTATTATCACTGAAGACCGGGTTTGTAGTACCGGATTTACTTTTAGAGTTATCTTCCTGTTTTTTCGATTTCCTGCCCATGAGAGACTTTTTAAACTTGTTGAAGACTCCACGATTTAATTTGGTATCCCTACCTTCTCCCTTTGCTAGGTTTTGGTTGAGTTTGATTGCCCCAGCGTTAGCATACCAACCGGATGTACGATCAGGCGGATCCTGTGGAAACAACAAGAGCAGATAACCCAGTTACACGTACATCTATTTATATATATACTTATGTATTGTTCATTGCTGAGTTGATCAGTGATTAATCTAGCTTCAATGTAATGAAAGTGGAAACACTCATGGCAGAGAAAGCGTGACACGCCTGAAAGCTTAGGAATAAACAAACATGGGAACGAATACTACAGAGCTACACATGTCAAATGCTAAGAGGGTTATTAACATTTATTGTTATTGATTTTGGCGATATCGATATTTATTGTATGAACTAACAAGGGTAATATTGAACGAGGAGATATTGTTATAAGTTAGTGGGTGACTGAAAAAGAAATATATACCTCTAAAGAAGCCCCTCGGGGAAGAGTCGGATCCGTGGTATATCTTGTCTTTTTGTCTTGTGTGTCTTGAGCCTGCTTCGATACATTGCTACCAAGTAGTTCCACGTTCTCGTACTTGCCTGGCCTCTTCCCTTTGACATGCACGGGAAGTCTGACCCCTCCCACCTGTTCCTCCTCGTCCCCATCCGCATTCCTGTTTTCCTGCAAAAGGTAAATCAGAATTGAGTCAGATTATATTTGACCACACGTGAATTACCAATCATTCATTAATTTATTCTGTTAACGGTAGGCTTTCTTTCCATTGTTTACGTGTGTAGCATGTCCTCCTCTCTATAATCAAAATAATATCCAAGGAGTTGCAACGTCAATGAAAACATGGTTATTTTTTGGATTACAGTACCTAAAACATATGAATCCACACCTTCTTAACATATCTGGAGCCCTGATAAATGTTTCCAAAAACAGTTCCTTATCAAAAACAGTTTTGCACACACGTGTCTATGGCCGATACGACATATTTTAGTGACATTCGAATTTGTTGATAAAATTTGAACCAACTGTATAAACGTAAATATGTGATCGGGAACTGTTCAAACCTTTTGTTTTCTATCCGGTCTCCCTCACAAAACTTATTCCGATCGATTTTGACAACATATTCCTCCTACCGTGAGGTCGACAAGATACCATTGAATTTTTTCTACCTCTTTTTCTCGATATTTTCCTCTTTCTCATTTCGAGTTCAGATTTAATGATAAGGATATTTAGTAGTCGGCTTTGCCGGATATTAACAATGCCCAACGATACTTGAATCGGCTGCGGTCCAATCAGTAGTAAATTCAATTGTTCAAGACCGTGACGTCACACAAGGTTGACTTGATTTGACCTATAACGTACATCTGTAGCAGCCATAGTCTGGTGATATACGGGTTTAGCTCACGTGCATTTCGACACGAGACTTGTGGTATGATGTCACGTGAATGATCATAAGGATGTGTTCCATATATTTTACGGCGATACTTTTAATTCCTCATGAACGTTTTTACGAATAAAAAATATTTTTTGGAGAAATAAATATATAGAAAGATTGTAAAATTGATATGCACATGAATACATGTACATAACAGGATACTGTATAGTTACAGAACCTGTACATATCTTCATGGTATTACAGAAACACGTGTAAGTTATAGAGAGTCGCATTATCGAACTTTGCTCAAGTTTAACTTGTGGTGGCTGCTACCTGGTGATATTGTTATTACAAAATCATTCATCGATAACATTAAAGTACATAACAAAATCTAAGGTTTTCTAACTTAGAAAACTTACAATAATGGTACTCATGCGTGACTTGCTTTTCCCCTTACGCCGACAGCACCTGACGACGATGATTACGATGACGACGATGATAATGATGACGAATACTCCACCGCCGACAGCGATTCCGATGATAAGTAATAAGTCGTCTTCTCCTTCATTCTCACAACTAGTAATGTTCGGCTGACAGGAAACATAGCACGTACCATTAAATTCAAACTTGCAATCGCATGTATCAACCCGACTACCAGAAGCGTTGCAACTGTTACATGCGTTATCACATTTTGCGCAAGAACCATTGTCGTTGTTGTAAAATCCTTCATCACATTTATTCACACATTCACTGTTGTTTCGCAAGGGACATGTACAGTTGTCCTTGATCCCCGGGCCTGTGCACGAATCACAAACGTCATCACACTTCTTACATCGGTCTACATCCGGGTAATACCCAACAGGACACATCGTCACGCACACTACCACAAAATCACGTGACTGATCCTCAGACGACATCGCATTAGAGTCGTTGTCATTAGTGAAAATACATGACGGGAAACTTTTTGTGAGATTGTGAGTTAGCTGTCCCGGAGGACAGGTGTTGTTGCAGGTGGCGTTGAGGTCACAGTGAAGACAACATTCGGAAGTGATGTTGGCCGTCGAGTTACAGAAAAACCGCTGTCCATCCAGCATTACCTGTAACACACAATGAAAGTTCTCTTTAGTAACAGCAATGATATACCATCATGTTATTGTAGTTACTTTAGTAACAAGAGATACCATATAATTACACCATGACATGACAGAATATATTTTAGTAACAAGTGATGTAGTGGACGTCCAACAGATATGAACTCTCTTTTGCATACGCATATTGACATAATGTATACATCATAATTAGGAGTAAACTGTAAACTGAAAACGCCGGTTGCATTCTGCAGATTGCATTTGTGCATACACAAATCTAAATGTGTATTTGACCTATCTCAAAGACCATTAACTTGAAAAAAGGCAAAATCATTGTCTTTGCATACGTGGATATATCGAAGAAAATTTCTTCATTTCTATGTATGTGTTACACAAATATATGAGTGTAAGTGAACATAAAAATTACAACAAATAATTAAACTGAGTATATTAGTATACGGGAACCATAAAAACAACAACTCATTAACAGTTAATGGAAAACATGTAGAGTTGTCTGCAAACCAACACTTCATAGTGTTTTACTTAAAGAGAATTTTAGTATTGCCAAGATAATTTTCAATGCAATATTAGATGGATAACAATTATTCATTGTATTTAGTAACGGAAGTATGTTTTTGTCTCCGTTCTTTTACTGGCAGAAATCTATCTAGCCTCTTATCTAACTCCTACTTTTAAATCAACATACCCTTAATGTTATGTAACAGTTATATATAAGACAAGGTCTAATGAGTAAAACCAGGGTTAAAAAAAAAGACAAAAAATATGTCATATTTGCAGTTTTCTGAAATTTGCTTTTTTTTATAGAAGTTAATTTGTATTGTTAGATGATGGGATGCTCCTTTGCATTTATCAAGATAATGCAGTAAGAGTATCCGGTATGTTTAAATACGTCGGTATCAATGTTGTTTGTCACGAAAACCCAAGAGAGTACGTATCAACCATAACAAATTACTGTTCTTATTTACGGGCGAGATAGTCTGACTTAAGACTTCCTGGTTGAGTCTACCCAATCACACACATGCTGTTACAAAAACACATTGAAAAGCGAATTATATGATTAAAGCCCGTGACATTGTTCTTTTTGAAGGTCAAATCCGTGATCAAAGTTGATATTTTAGTCCTTATTGTCACTATCGACAATAAACATATCATTTGTAATCTTAATATTGCGTTATTTTAACTAACTAGGCACAGACATTTTATTTGCATTCGCTACGGTTTTGTAAGCAAATAGTCTCACTAATCATTTGAAAGCTGCATAATGCTTGCATTAGCAATGTCGACTAAAGGTACCGACACCAATAGTCTCGGGAAAGACATGTTATTCCTTCAATGTCATGCTTATAGTTTTGAAACAACACGTTCCACACCCTTTTTATTTCGTTCTGTCTATCGTTCGATCTGTGCAAGGATTCTTTATACAGACATGATAAGATAATAGGAATCAAAGAGTTGACCATCGGTAAAGAATATTAAAACATCAATGTAGGTATTTGATATGAATATAATAGGTACACAGATGAATGCAACAACAACAGCGTAGTGAATAATACTACAACATCAATGACATCAGCAATAATACTACAACATCAATGACGACAGCAATAATACTACAACGTAAATAACGTCAGTAATAATACTACAACATCAATGAAGACAGCAATAATACTACAACATCAATGAAGACAGCAATAATACTACAACATCAATGACATTAGCAATAACAAAACAACATCAACGACATTAGCAATAATACTACAACATTAATGACGACAGCAATAATACTACAACGTAAATGACGTCAGCATTAATACTACAACGTAAATGACGTCAGTAATAACACTACAACGTCAACGACAGCAGCAATAATACTACAACGCCAAAGACGTCAGCAATAATTCTACAACGTCAATAACGTCAGCAATAATGCTACAAAATCAATGATGTCAGCAATAATACTAAAACATCAATGTCGTCAAATATAATACTACAATACCAATGACATCAGAAATCCACAAAATCAATTTAGTCTGTATTACCACATTGTCATTGTAACAATGACACCAAAGCAGCAAGAAGATTAATAAGGTAAACATAGTCAGATATACATGTACTGCTTGAATGTAGCCAGTTAACTACAACAAGCATCTACAATACCTTTGTTAATTCTAGCCAATATATATGTAACAATATTTCACTTTTTTTCAAAACATTTAATACGATACTCAAATAATCGCAATAGCGCGTGCAACTGTCCAATATACCATACCAGACCTGCCTCTGCCGACAATACTCGTCTATATATACACATTAGATAAGACTTTATCATGACAAAGGTGCAGTGTACACACGTGTTTAACCGGTTCTACCTTACTGATATCAAGTGTGTTTATATATTAACAATGAGGAAGTGGTTGTGCACTGGTTGTCCATTTCATCTGGTGAAATGTTCATTACCCCAATAGTACTAGCACCTCTTTAGAGGTTCATCAGGGGAAATGTTCATTGTCTCTATAGTACTTGTACCTGTTTAGAGGTTCATCCGGTGAAATGTTCATTACCTCTTTAGTACTTGCACCTCTTTAGAGGTTCATCCGGTGAAATGTTCATTACCTCTATAATACTTGCACCTCTTTAGAAGTTCATCAGGGGAAATGTTCATTACCTCTATAGTACTTGTACCTCTTTAGAGGTTCATCCGGTGAAATGTTTATTTCCTCTATAGTACTAACACCTCTTTAGGGGTTCATCCGGTGAAACGTTCATTACCTCTATAGTACTTGTACCTCTTTAGAGGTTCATCAGGGGAAATGTTCATTGTCTCTATAGTACTTGTACCTGTTTAGAGGTTCATCCGGTGAAATGTTCATTACCTCTTTAGTACTTGCACCTCTTTAGAGGTTCATCCGGTGAAATGTTCATTACCTCTATAGTACTAACACCTCTTTAGGGGTTCATCCGGTGAAACATATATATAAATTAAACATATAAGTAATGAAATATTATATTTCCGTACATGTTAATGTTTATACACGAGTTAATGACAATTTTAATATCTCCGCGTCGATCACAATGACTGCAGTGTATGTCGAAAATGTTGATAAAAAATCCTATTCCTACCATACCGCCGCCTTTACAAATATGTAAAACGTGCAAATAGATGTGACCTTTCTGTCAGTGTTTTAATGGTTTGGGTGTTTTCTATTGAATAATGGGAAATCTCAGCGCGCCGTCACTGAAACATGTCTTAGCTTGCTCTGAACACTGACTTGATCAACTGTTGACAGGATTGTGCTCTGAAGATACGGCGACCTACGTTTCTATAGTATGTATTTTAGAAATCGATTTACTACAGTTATAGCCATTCATTCCGTCGTTTTACTTGCGGATGTGTGAAAGCAAATTAAGTTATGAGTTCCTATTAATAATTGTTCGGGAAGTTTTTGTATAGTATTATTCATTTTTAAGTTTAGTGTATAAATCGCTTCTGCTGACGATAGACCTTTTCAAAATACAAACTGCGCATAGGTTATCGTATCACAATATTACGTATATAAACACCAGAGAACAGACAAGGAAGTGTTCCTAATAAATTGCGGGCACGGTTGGTAGTGCTAGCTGAATCTTGTTTTTTTCTAAACGTAATCATACACCCTGTAGCGAGCACGACTGGCTGGTATCGTGAGCTTCTGCTATATTTGTGTAAAACACGATCCAGCATATGTATCCTTATTTTAAGATTTTTCAATGGTAACTGGCTCATTGGTTAGTCATATCCTGATACGTACGAAGGACTAAAAGTACAGTATGTGTATTGCCGTTAGCAATTTAAAAATAGCAATGGCCAAAAATTAACGGAAGTATAACGCGGACCATCGGTTGTCGTATTGACCGGCTTCATAATGGCGCCGATATAGAGCCGAAATCGCTGAATTTTTATCTTACTCTTGAGAATGACATTGAGAAACGTGGTTTTCACATTATTTACATTCTTTTTATATTTTCGATTTTTAAGTCTGATTTATGAAATTGATGATTTACTTTTCAATTAAATCGTCAGTAAACCCATTTAAAATCATACGCATTCTATGAATTTATCAGTTTACCTGTCTTGATTTAGTGGCCGGTTGCTACGAAAACTATTTAGAAGGGTTGGAGTCGAGGGAATGTGTTACATATCTTTTCGTTCCTACTAGTTAGCCATCTATATATTTAACCAGTTCACAGAATATATTTCGCTTTTTATGGAAAGACATAAACCCTATTATACCGTTCATGTCTTCCCTGTAGAACGTGTGCTTTCATTTATCTGAGATTCCACTCTCAAGGTCATGATATACTTTAATCAACAGCATTTGATAAATGCATCAGGTTATTTATTTTCAGTGTTTATCAAGTTGACTTTTCATTAATTCTATGTTGGGTTTCACACTTACGACACTCTGTCGTTCAATAGCACCACTATATCCTAAATGAACGAATATTGTCCAGTATTGCTTTTGCTTATATTGTCTGTCTTTTGGTATCAACTTACAACAATATACGTATTTTTGTCAATAACATATCTTATGAACCTGTCAAACAAACCAATGAAGATCTATTGAAAAATATTTTACTTACAGCCTGATGGCATACTTTGTGATAAAATCACAGTGAATCATCCGATCCTTACAGAAACATTGACTACTTTTTCATCACCACTGACTATTATAATATATTATTGATTGGTTATATATAAACACAACAAGGGAATAAGTGACAACAAAACCATAATATTAACTCAGAATCGATACCCAAAGGCATAATGTGACCAAAGGAAAGATTTTCAGGGAGACAGTTGAAAAAGTACAAGGTGATACGACCAGATGTTGCCAAAGGGGAAGCGTATATTGCTTCATCGACGAACCCCGCCATGTAAGTATTGGTCAAGTCTGTGAAAGGCCGTGTCCTCGCATCGAAAACTCGAATGTGGCAACAAAACCACAGGT